ACTGGCCAGAGAAAGATCCAAAGAACAAAATGAGGATGATGACAGAAATTTATCTTCTATGTGGGGAGGGGTATTAATGAAGTTTCTTTTCAATTGCTCAGACTCAGGTGCAATTACACCTTTGAATTTGGGAGTCTGTCATCATTATCTTGCCACTCAGCTCAGTTCTGGTCCAAAGCCTGGTAAAGTCATTGCGAGTCAATATGGTACCAACAGCCTGTCTGTTGACGTCCAGAGACTTGAAAATGAGCTTCACTGGATCAAATCCAGTCTCTAGCTTCTCTAGCCAAATAACTAACCTAGGTATCAAAAAGGTGCAGGTGAAAAAGAGAGTGTTATGCATTCAAGGTTTGAAAGTAGCTATGAGGTCCTCTAAAGATGTCTATGTGCCCTAAAGGTGTGACTGACACTTTATATAGGAAATCACAGGTGAGACTGATTTCAGTGAGGCTCCCCAGGTGCAATGGGAAGCACAGCTTACTTCATCAGACATATCATTCCCAGGATCTCTCATTTAAGGTCTTAGGTCCTGATTTTTGGTGTCTCAAACAGCTTGAAAGGGAAGAAATGATTCCATAATGCATTGGATGATGTTTGGGTTTCTTTTGTTTTGGAAAAAAACCCAAGCTGAACTCTGAAGGTCAACAGAGTTCAAGTCAGGTGAATGATATTGCTAGTAGAAAGGGTCACTAATATGCTTTTGTCAACATGAAACATTTATTGGAGTCATAGCACAGTTGTTGATTCAGAACAATAAGGCTTTCTCCTAAGTTTCCACCCCAGGCTTTATCAATGGCTAAAACTGGACTTGGAAATAGAAGACAGGAAAATTTTTGAACTTGTAGCTGAAGTTGAAACATTGAGCAAGCATGTTTCAGTGTGTAGTTCTGGCAGCTTTGATTTATGGCTTTGTAAAGTCTTGATAAAGACCCTCAAGGCAGCATACAAAACACAAAAGAATTAATTCTTTACATGTCAGAATCGGAACAAAGATGCTAGACATGGAGAATTTCATTGATATTTAATTATGCTTTATTATCGAGGCAATCTCTAAATATTAAAATGGCGGTCAGTTATTTACAAGCACATTGCTGCCACAGTAATTTGTGACCAAACAAGTCTAAGTCAATCTCTTTGGTAATTATATTCAAATCTAGTTTTTGTTGGAATCATGTTTATATTGGATTTAAGGTTGGCTCCATCTGGAGCAGATGCAGTCTTCTCATAAAAGGAATAATTGATCAAATTCTGGATTTGGTTACATGCATGCAACTCCATTGTAATCCAAAATATGTGACTATGTGTCCCAGTGGGGAGGGTCAGCTGGAAGATCTTGTTAATTAGTATATTATGTGCTCAAATTAGAATTTTGTGCTGCTATTAGTGAAAAATGGACTGATCCTCTGCTTGAAAAGGATTATGCTGACAGGTAGACAGCAGGTCTCTTGGTGCTGGAAGTTCTCAGCATATTTGTCATGAGCCCTTTGCTGATGTCATTTTGAAAATGAGAGAGGCAAAAGAGTATAAGCATTTTTCCTGACATTACTTCAGCTTTTATTGAAGAATTTGATGCAAGAACACGAATTAAAGGTCTCAAATAGGACTGTGAGATTCCTGTGTTGACATGGCATGTTTACCTTTTGCCACTTAGCAGTTATATGTTATCTAATTTGTAGATTTCATCATGATTGCATAGGAAAGGGGACAAATTTTGTCTGCTTTATAGCTGAAGAAACTGAGATACAAAGGGAAGTTCAGATATACCAAGGAGGATGGAAGTCTGTGTCTTCTCCATTGAGCCTCACTGGCTCCTTTAGCGATGTCTGGATATGATTATTTTAGGACAGGTGTGAGCTCTGCTTTGGGGACTGAAATGCCTCCAGCCCCTGTTCTCAGGCAGCCCTGTGCTTTCTTCTCTCCTTTTCTCTCTGCCCTCCCAACAAGGCCACCCACGCCCTGCTCACAGAGACCCTGTGGTCCTCTTTCTCTTCTCGTGGCCCACATTTTCCCTCAGCCCTGCATTCCAGTCCCTTCCCTTAGATGTATACCAGATGTCCTGTGTGCCTCCCACCACCTTTTCTCTCCATCTTCTTCCTCCCTCTCACACCAGCAGCTGCGTGTGTGGTCCCCAGCCCATCACACACCATGACCATAACCTCCCTCTCTCTTCATTACAGGGCTTTTCCCCATTCTCTGCTGCAGTCCCGTTGCTGGGACCCTCTTCTTCCTCTCCCTATTTATGATGTTTCTTCCCCTGCTGCGGCAGAGAGTACAAATTCCCCGGTATCTCCATCTGCCATGCTTTCATTCTCATCCCATCAGAGTCGGTACGCATTCTGCACGCCTTCTTCCACCCACTGTACTTCTACTTCCAACCGGTGCACCACAGAGCCTCTGTGAATAGCCCCATCTTATTCTGCTTCAATTATTTATTTTCCTTTTGCTTGGGAAGGCAATCATTGAGGGTACTAACATTTTAAAACTGGTTGTGCTGATGGGCAGAGCTGAGAGGGAGGACACTGTTAAGCAGCAAGGCACTGAGAGCTGGCGCCGAGCAAGTCTCTGACGCACAGTCCCTTACAGAAAAGCTGGACGTGGATACTCAGACACTGAGAACTTTGTGGGTCTCCTGTTTCTCTCCGACATACCACCAAAATTGGCTCAGCTCAGCCCATTGGTAGCAGAGTGCCCTGACAGCCTGGGATGGACCAGATATAACATCCGGCCTCTGCGTGTCATGGAGAGAGAAATGCTCCTCATGTGTGTGGGACTTCATGAGTGTCACCAACAAGACCCCACAGACCTTGGCAGGAAGGTCTCAATGCTGAGGGGCAGCAGAAAGCCCAATTCCTAGCTGTCAAAAGGAGTTTCCTTGCAGGTCTCCCCAGTGACAGGAAAACATCAAGGCACTTAGAAGAAGGTGTTCAGCAGGACCACACATCATCCTGATGGATGTTTTTGTAACTTGTTCTTAAAAAAAACCCCAAACCAGTGATGGATGATTTGATATGGTGACTTGGATGATTGAATAATTTGAATCACCCAGATTGTCCAGAGCAGTGGGGCCCATTCCTGACTACGCCTCTGACTGGCGATTGCTATAAAGTTGTACTTCTAAATTTGACCATGTGTACTCCTAGAGAAACCCCTGGCACAGGTCAGTCAGCAGAATCCTTGCTCCACCATTGCAAAGGCACGGGAGCATCTTTGGATCGGTACAGTGTCAGCCCTTCAGCATTGCCTGCTCCAACACCACTGACCTGTGCAGGCTAGAGATGTCCGTGCCCAACGTAGGGAACTTCTTCTGCTACAGTGGACACTCGTGGCATGAGATAGGTATCGGCAGTGGCTTTGATAGTATAGAGAAGAGCAGCAGATGAGCAAAGGCAGGGTGAAGTGGTTGGAAGGGAGCAGGTAGGAGCAGAAGGAGGGGAGAAATTGTCACAGAAATGTTGTAAAGCCATGAGCACCACTGGCTGCATTGCTGTCTCAGTGACAGCAAAAAGATGCCTCAGTCCAAACCCGATTCCTTGTGCTTACAAGTAGCATACATGCATCAAAATCCATACATCACACAACCGCAGAAACATTGTCTGGAAGGAGCCTCTTGACATCTCTTATCCAACCTTCTGCTCAAAGCAGGACTGCTGTCAACACTACATCAGGTCAGCCCTGGCTTTGTCCAGCCAAGTCTTGAAATCCTCCAAGCACAGCACGCCCATCACTTCTGGGTGACCTCTTTCCATGCTGCACTACCCTCCAGGTGAGAAAGCCTTTACTAACATCCAACCTGAACCTCCCAAGCCAAAAAAAAAAAAAATGCAAGTGAAACCACAGAAATGTGGTGGTGAGGGAGACCTTGATAGCATCTGGTTTGGCTCCTTGAATGACAGCCAAACTAAATATACTTACTCCATCCCCAGACAATGGTCAACTAGCTCTTCTTCAAAACCTCACATGAAAGAGAGATCCCAGCACCTCCATAGCCAGCCCTCCCTTTTACACTGAAGCAAATTCTTGCTCTCAGGCAGCTCCAGTTGTTCCTTATTTTCTACCTAGGGACTGTGATTGATGGCAACAGGACTGAAACGGAGGTCTACAGAGCCCCCAGCTCTGGTAATAGCAGCAAAAGCCATCTGGAAACCCTGATTCTGATAATTTTCTTAATTTCAGCAGATGTATCTCATATTAAATCTTTTTCTAACACTTCTTCTAGAAGCAGGACAGACATCTTTGCCAAACACACTATTACCAGACCGTGAAGGGGAAGTGAGGAGAGGCACTCTGAATCTATGTGATTTGGCAGGGAAATTGGTAGAGGAACGGGCTAGTAAATAAAAGCTGTGGTATAAAAAAGTTGAGTTACACATGTGGCTTCTATTCCTCAGTGTTTATCGGGGGAAACAAAGCATGTGTTCTCCAGTTACCTAACCAAGAGAAAATGAGAACAGCGCTATTTGTCCATTACTATTCATTTTTTTAGTAGTACCAACGGCAAAATACCCAGCTTGTGATCTTCTTATTCAGGTAAGAATAACTTGAATTCACAAAAACTGTACTCAAAACCTTACTGTTGCCTCCAAGCACACACAAGATAAAAATAAGATGGAAAAAGGATTCTGCAGTCACTGGTGCCGCAGCCTCAAGGCACCTGGCTGAGGTGGCAAAAATGCAGCGTTCACTCAAGTCCGTGGAAAAAAAAAAAAAAAAAGCCTGTACATTTCAAGGGATTTTGGATCTGGTCCAAAATGGGTGAGGATCACCAAAAGATAGGAAGATGACTGAATAAAACATACTGTAAAAGTGCCCGGTATTATTACAAACATCCCCTAAGGCTTCTGATAATAGTGCAGGAAAGCTATAGCTGTCATACTGTATTGTTTTAGTAAGAACAGCCATTAGTCCTTTCTTGACTGCATGCCAATCAATACAAGACAAATGCTCCTATGGATTTTTTTCCTCCCATTTTATACTTTGTTAAAGTGAGCCAATTCTCTTACCTTGTTGCATAGCGACTTCTAGAGCACTCACCTTTGGCACGTGGATGATGGATGGTCTGGGGATGTGAGTACAGAGTGCAATAACATCATGGCTTAGCTCGTTAGCAGCAAACACTGATGACTCTGTGGTAGCAGACACTGACGGAGCAGCAGCATGATTGCTAAAATTGCTGCTTGCGCGACTGTGTTTTTCAGAGCATCTGCTGGCTTTGAACATCTCCTCGCTGTCCTTCTTTCCTCCGTGCTTGATGCTGCTGGCTGCTATAGCAGATGGCTGCAGGCACACTGCTGAGGTTGCCTCGGTCTTCTCCTCCTCCATGGCTAGAGGGCTTGTATTGGGCTGGTCAAACGGAGTGTTTTCATGTGCATTTCCAAAGCAGGTGAGCAGGGCTGAGCAAGGGAAAGGATGCATCTTGGATGACAGGTTATCGGATCCACTTAGCCTGCTTTCCACATCCGCATAATCAACAAGCTGCATTCACATCCAGAAGAGCACCCAAAATGAAAGCCCAGGCATAATGTCATTCCAGCCTTCCTAAGAGAGAGCACCCCCTTTTCTGCTGTCAGGAGCATTCAGAAGTGGGGTACTACACCTCCTGCTCTGTCCTCTACCAAAGTCAGCCCACAATCTCCTCGCCGCTGCCCGTTCCTATTGTCTGCAAGGCAAAGAAGCACAGACACAATAAAAACCTTTGCAACCCTTGCATGCTCTTCCTCGGAGCTGTCAGCAGCTAAACAAAGCCCTGACAATAGCCCCATAACCCCGGCAGGCTATGGTTACAGAAGCGGACGCTACAGCACCAGGCGGTCCTCAATCAATAGTGCCACAGCCTCAGGTTACCTGGTGAAAGAGGCAAAAAGATAATGTAGCCCAAGCTCTCCAGCCATAACAGCATTGACACGTGTATCAATGTCATCATAACAATAGTATAACTGGCTCCGATTACGCCACTCAGGTATTGATTAGCAATAAACCCCCAAATCGTTCACCTATCACTGACTTAGATCAAAAATGTACTTTCAGGCTCTGGCTGGGCTGTTCATTGTTCAGAAGGGAAAACAAATGCCTGCTTTTGTCAGGGAGGAGAAGACGGGGTGCTGTGTGGGCACCCCAAGTTCCTGTCCAGCACACGCTCCTGTGGCACAGGCAGGATTTGTCCAGGCAGCTCCTCCTCCGGCCACGCAGCTCGCTCCTGGCCATGCAGCATCGCCTCTCCCAGCTCCTCTCAGAGGCACCCGCTGCTCCTCCTGGCCCACTCCGTTCCCCAGGGAAAACTGTGGAAGCATCCTACTAAAAGTCATCTGCCGTCAGGCGGGCGTAAGGGGAGACGTTTCCTTCTTCAGAGTGCAGTGGCTCAGTGCTGGCTGTTAAAAGAAAAATATGTGGGCAATGATGGAAGGAGGGAGAGTTTGTGGTTAGAGCATCTGCCTCCAGAAAATCCCAGTTCCTTCTTTTTTGTGCTGCCACAGGCTTCCTGTGTGATAACGGAGATGTTATTTGATCTCTATCTCCATCTGTAAAAAGAAGGAAAGTAATCACTTCTCTTTTTTTTCGACCCACTATACATATCCTGTCTCTTTATAAAAGGTTATAAACTCTTGAGGGCAGTGACTTGCTCTTATTTGCTTTTAAGCTGCTGGTACAAAAGCTCTCCAAATACAAACGTGACATCTACCTGCTAATAACATCTAAAGAGAAATTTTGGGTTTCAATCTTTCCCAACAAACCCATACTCTTCCATTCAATTTTCTAGCCTGGTTTGTTGTTAGATGTTGTTAGATGCTTATCACACCCTCCCTGTAACTGCGCCTTTCATCTTACTGTAAGGCTTGACATTGAGCAAAAATGTGATATATTAAGAGAAACTCATGTTTCCAGTAGATCATCAGGCACCAAAGTGCAGAAGATTGAGAGTCAAATTCCCATTGTGTCAACTGTCAGTGCCCGAAGCAAAACAATCTCAGGTCCCTCATCCCCCATTAACCTCGCAGTTCTCTTTGTACCCCTTCCTAACCGACACGTCTTGTACACCAGCTTGTCTTAATGCTGGTGTTGGGTTTTAGAAAGGTCCAAAGTGGCCTCCAGCTTGCACAGCAATGCATTTTGAGCTGCAGGGGCTCTTGCTGTTCTGTATCGCTTCCTGGCTTGTAAATACTGCCAGGGTGGGATGAAGACCATACAGCCTTTGGAGTGAGAAAGTTGTACCTGATGACCCAAAAAAGCTTGAAAAATGTTAGGAGAGGATCTGATAGTGGGGAAAGCAAACTCAGAGGGGAAAAATGAGCTGAAAAACTGGGAAAAGGATGATTTTCATTCAGGGTCCATCTTGCTTCACTTCTAAGGTGAAAGCGTCAGCACTGATCTCAGTATTCCCCTTCAGCAAGTGCCAGGAGACAACAGACTGGCTGTGCTGATATCCAGCAACTTCCTCTTGCTTTGCATCCATCGGGGTGGACATGGATCCCTCTGGAAGTGGTTCCACTGCAGATGGATCTGTTTTGCACCCGCCTGGATGCCCTGCCCTTCTGCAGAGCACTGTGAGTGCCTGTCTGAAAGTTCTGGGCTCTGCTTTGGGCAGCAAATAAATAAAAGTTCAGGTGTTTTTTTCCTCTTAACTTTTAAATCACTTCACTTTTTTACTGGATCTAACCTTGGATGCTTCTTTCCCTCGGTTTCTAATTTATCAAAGATAGGTAATAGTACTTCTCTGTCTCACAGATGTTAAACCTTGTTCCAGTATCGCAGCAGTGGAAGTCTGATAGGATCAGTCTCTCAGATCAGGGAACTTCAGAAGCAGAAGAAGTACCTACAAGCCTGGGTGTCTATTTGAGTTTTACAGACCCACCGAGGATGTGAGGCTGGACCTGTGTCACAGAACAAGCTTTCCCATAGGATTTCTGGTGCCTCCTTTCAGTCGTGGGCCCTGGCAGGACAACAGGCACAGGCAAAATATTTTCAAGACACTACTGAAATATTCAGATCTTCGGAAGAAGACCAGTTTGAGCCTAGACAGAAACAAAAGTTTAGCGACTCTTATTTCTTGTAAAGCAAGTACCCTCTAAGTACGTTTCCCTTTATTAACCCTTAGACTTCATAAAAACGCCTGAGAGAAACTAGTAAAATCCTCTAGGACGTTTTCCTGTGTTATGCTCTAAACTTAGCTCTACATTTTTGAGTGTTTATGTATTATCCCATGATTGGGCTAGATATGGTACCACTTGGGTACTTGATGTCTTAGCACATGAAAATATTGATAAAGTCATTTCACCAAGTCTGTATTAAAGAAGGGAGTTCAAGTGCTCTCAGCATCTCCAGAAAATCCTGAATATTGGTTGCAAAAAGGCTTTGTAGACCACAGTGGCTGAGGTTTTGGCTGTGGACAGACACCAGGCTGGGTACAGACCCATGCATAGGGACCAGCTGAGCAGTATAGATGACACTGGGCACACACCAGACAGGTTTCATGGCTGTGAGAGGTCAGGCTGAGAGGCAGGACTAGACAACCAAAGAAATAACTGCTTTTATGTGGGAACAGAATTTGATGTTTAGGTGGGAAGAGTAATTTCAAAGTGATGCACAACTAAGACTTCGGGCGATCTGACACATCTTTAATTACACAGTAAGATGCCCTTGGAATTAAAATAATTATTTCAGCAAGCCAGCCAGCCAACAACCTACATTCATTTATTTCTAGGCCTTCAGTTTGCCGTGCCAGCCTTTCTTCAGCTCTTTCTGAGCTCCTTGTGAGTTTATAGGGACACTGGTCTACGTGAAGACGAGTTGCATGAGCAAGTCATGATCACTTAACATCACCATGCAGCACAAATGCATGCCTGTGTGAAAAGGGGTTGTTCTAAAAATCAGGTGTTTGCTTGTATTGCCTCTGAGGAGAGAGGACATTCAGTGCCTGCTTGCTGTGAGAGCCACAGAAATGCTTTTTCAATCAACAAAAAGGGCTAAATGCTCCATTGTAACTGTAAGAGAAGTGATCAGGGCAAGGGTAATTAACCCGTGAGTCTTTTCCTGAGTTTAAAGACAACATGAGAAATCTTTACAAGCCGAGAACATCCCAAATGAACAGGTGGTGACATCTAAGAGGTGACAGCCATGAGCCCCAGCAGTCAGACCTTTGCCCAATCTCCTCACAGCTTGGGGCTATTTGATTTTGGCTTAAGCCCATCACTCTAACTAATGCTAAAAACTCAATTCAAGGTTTATTTCGTTCAAGCAGATCTCCTTGCACCAATCAACCAAGCATGCTAACCACATTTTTATGTGTGACGAGATATTATTAGGACAAGTGACAAGACTCACTTCTTTCTTCCTGAATTTGCTCATAAATTAATGATAAGCTCAAATGTACTGGCTTAACGCCTCAGCAAGCTGGACATCACAAGTAAATGGAGAAGGTGAATTACAGCCAACTCTTGACCTGTCTTCAGTATTATTCCTCCAAGAGAAATTTTTCCTTCACGTGGTTGATATTATATTCTCTTCTCAGCAGGAGACATGGGGTCAGATTTAGCTCAGGCACTCCACGCTTACAGCAGGGACTAAGCCTAGCTGGTTATCTTACTTTGCAGAAACCATTTTTACAGCATGTCATCCTGCTTTTGTGTTTCTATATTGTCCATTCTTTCCTCATCATTTTGCCCCTACAGCAGCACTGATTCTCTAAACATGTCCCAAACCCATGTCTGTCTGGGAGGGGTTGACCGTAGCTTGGTGTTCCCCAACATCTCCTCTTCCTCATCCTGCCATAAGCCCCATCTGCTGCCTCTGTGCTGCCTGCAGAAGGAATATGTTCATTGCACCAACGTAAGTTTTAGATTAAATTTGAGCTGGTGATGATCAGTAGAGCTCCACTGTCTTCAAATTATGAAGGTCTCAAAGGATGATCAGAGGAATTAAATCCAGCCTCCTGCTTTCTCCTCTACCTCCTTTCAGACTGCCCAAACTTTAGCTGAAAACCAGCGGAGCTTCTGGCTTCCCCTACTTAATATATACTTTCTATATACACACAATATATATGTTCTATACAAAAAGATGAACTGGATGTGAAGAGAGTGTACCTAAAACATGAAATACATCTAGAAGCAACTTGGCACTGCTTAGATGGAGCTTAATAGAAGAGAGTTCAGAGAAAAGCAATGTGGATGGCAGAGGGATCAGCTCATAAGGGAAGGTTTGGAGAGCTCAGCTGGACATGCAACAAGAAACCAGTAAGATAAGCAATAAGATAAGGTGCTCTGTGTTTATCTGAGAAGTATAGGGATTGAGGTTAAGAAAGAAGCTCATTATGGTAGTCAAAACATTCCCTAATAAATTCAGAGTATCTTTGATCTTCTGTTGTACTTGCTATTAGGCATGACTGAGGGTAGATGACTGGGTTAGAGGAACCATTTGTCTCA